AACCCGTTAGGTTCTCCGCGACTCCGTATCGGCATCAGCCCTATCCGTGGTGTCGTTGAAAGTTAGTTCATCAGAACTTACATAACATAACATCACGCCTTTTACCCCCGAAGGGGTAGGCAGAGGTGTACATTATGCCACTGTACAATGTAACACCCTCTTTTCACTATTTATGTTATGAGTCCCATGTAATGGGGGGTGAGCCTATTGCCATATACCGGGCACATTTCCAGACTCCGTGCTACTACTGAGAATTTATAAAAACCCAGTAGTACTTCGCCCGACCCGCGAATCGAACCCGAGACCCCTTGACCGGCAGTCGCACTTGCAACCACTCGGCTAACGAGGCAGTCATCAGAACTTCTCTGTTTTTATTGATAACGGGGGCCCATCCGATGAATTTGCCATTCGCCCCGAGTGGCCGATAATTACGCCACTGATTTCAAAAAGAAATGTTCCGTTGGGCGACGCATTGCGCAGCAGCGAGTCGCGTAGCCACTGTGCTAAATAAAATCATTTTTACCTTCTGCCCCTCGACTGCGCAATATCATAAATGGGATTACTTACAGGTCTTTGGGATTATTCGCAAAAATTAATCAAAGGTGGACCATTATGTCATTTACGCCCGAAAGCTGTTGAAATTTGGCGGGAAAATAAGCATGACGATTTGACAGTGACACATATAACTGGTAATTTCATTGGTTGCCTGAGCCGGAGTCTCGATAATGATAACGACCAAATTCGCTCGTTAAATCGCTTACTTCTTTTATAGTTTTTAAACACTATCGTCTTGTAATAAAATTTAAAATCTTTAATGAAATTGACTTTTGAACTGATCTTTGTCGTAATATCATTGTCGAAATTTTCATTTCATTTCCATTTGTTTACGCTATGTATGTGTGAATGGGATGAATGTATGTATGTTATTGGAAGAATTTTTAATGTCAATGCGAGAGACGATCCTAAGTTATTTTTTCTTAAAAATGTTTTTTTTTTTTTATAACTCCAACTAACAATCGTAAAATTAAATATTTATGAAAACGGTCTAAAATATACCCACTATACGGGTTTTTCTATCTTTTGTCCTTATTACACTAACCAGCATTGAGTCGCGGAGAACCTAACGGGTTACCGGGGCTCCGGCTCGACGTGCAGGAGAAGGAACGGGGTGGTTTTTAGTCAGTAAGAGTCTGACACTCCCTCCCGCCTCACCCAGGCGTGAGCAGTCATTCGATGATTTTCACCCCTTAAAAAAAACAAAAAGCTCTAACCAGCATTCTGATTCTTTAACACCTGAAGGCCTAGTACGAGTTTCTTTTACGTTTAACGTAATCGAAACACATTCTGCGCTCTGATTTATTACTTCGTTGGAGTCGCCAAATCAGAGCGCCGTACGTGGTCTCGTTAATCGTAAAACAAATTCATATTAACTCTTTCAGTCACACTTTTAACTGGTTACGAATATATTTTATTCAAATATACTGAAATGCTTAAAAACCAATGCAAAGTAATTTGAAATGCTTCAACTTCTACTTAAAAAATTGAATTTCTAAGAAAAGGTGGTTAGTTACAGTGACCACCAAGACTGAAAGAGTTAAACCCTCAGTTTCGAGTCGCACTTCGTTTCGATAATTTGTTCAAATTGTTTACAGAGGTCTTAGTACAAGTTTGCCTTACGTTTAAAGTAATCGAAACGAGTACGCGTTCTGCGCTCTGATTAGTTGCTTCATTGGTGCCGACCAATCAGAGGGCCAAGCACGATTCTATCGCATTCGTAACGTAATAGTATCGAGCGCGTTCGGCGCTCTGATTGGCCGGCTCAAGTGAACCAACCAATCAAAACGCTTACAACTCGTTCGATACTGTTACGATACGAATGCGATAGTTATTTGTGCTTGGCCTTCTGAATTCAAGTGTGTTTACTTTCGAAATGAGTTCTTTGGCTTGTGCAAGCTCGACATTGAATTGGTATTTTACAGAATTCCCCTGAAGGTAATGGTTAAAGCAGAGTTTTAACCGACGTCCTGCGTGTCGATCTAGACGCGAATGCTAAAACTACTCACTGGCTGTAACTTCATATTGGCTCTTTATCTCTTTATACATTTGTTTTAGATATACAACCTTTTTCGTCCCTCCTTTACCTCAAGACAAGATCACATCAATTGACACAATATCAATAGGCGTAGTAGCAAAAATTATTTTATTATTTGACACGCTTTGGTATTCGAGTCCGAACTGGCCGGAATATTTATGGAGAGGGGTCGACAAAGAAATGATAAGCATAGAAGATGGTTGGGTAACCAAAGTTGTTGAAAGTTCTAAACCAATGGGATGTAGTAATGGTATGACTCTGTGGGCTTCGGGCGACACGGCTAAAGTGGTAGGTAATTTGTCAAATATCAATGGGGCTTAGCGTGTTCTTGCTCACTGGATGGTACTAGTATAAACCTCGCGTTATTCGTCTAATGGAGAATGAGTTAGTGTCACTATTGATCGTTAAATATATTACGGCTGCTGTGATTTGGACAAAAAAAATCTCTTCTGACATTTACGCCATCCGGTGAGCGAAAACGTTAGCCCACATTTTCTAAAATCAAAATATATCTTAGTTTGAATGTACCATATAAAGCCATGGGTGAACTCATTTGGTATTTAAACCACCATAAATGGGCGCGAAAAAGCATGACAATAGGATAGATGACTGATCTTCGTTTTAATATAAATGGCTAAAATAAATAATATTAGATACCTACGTACTTTATTTTCTTACGGAAACAAATACTTTCGATGATGTATTAATTTGAAAGATCGCGTGACGTCACTTCTAAGTACGTTTTAAACTTAGAAATGACGTAGCTAGCTCCCTCTCCTAAACGTTTATTCGTTTTATTTAATTATTTTTTAGTTATACGACAGAATAAAAAATATTTGCTGACGGACTATAAAGGTTTTCAATTTGTATACCCCTTTTAAAATGATTCGGCCATTGTTGAGCGTTGCTATTTTATTTTTTAAAGGTTTAAAGTATCTCCATACGTAATATCCATTCATCGCAAAATGAATGTTATTATGGGTGTAAATACAACAAGAATCTTAAATTATTCATTCCCAAAGTTAACTAAAAAGTCGTGTAACTAAAAATATATCATAATAAACTTTATTCATAATTAAAAAATACGAAATACAAAAACATATCGTAAATACGTACAATTGTCCTCACAATGTTAAATGCCTGCCCTCGGACAATCCTGTATCGCAGGCGAGAGGAGTTCTAAATATAATTCTTATAGTAGCACATTTATTTCTACAGACACATATACTTAACGTATTGCTAATTTGCACGTCTGTTCACTGCGAACGGCAACAGGACTGACGTGAAAATTGAGACAAGCTATACTAGTTTCGAACCACAGAGGGGTTCTTCCTCATGAGCAGCGTGCGCGGTCGCGGCCTTAACAAAAAAGAAAGAACTGGATTAAGTAGACATTAAATGACTCTGGGTACGACGTTATACTTTTACTGCCAACAAATAACTGTTGGAGGCGGAGTCGCGAAGAACCTAACGGGTAACCGGGGCTCCGGCTCGACGTGCAGGAGAAAGAACGGGGTGGTTTTTAGTCAGTAATAATCTGACACTCCCTCCCGCCTCACCCAGGCGGGAGCAGTCATCCGATGATTTTCCCCCCTTAAAAAAAAGAGTCGTTCACCGATATCTCCCTATGGAGCATAACGTCTGCGTGCCCATTGACTGACTAGTACACAACACCACGAAACAATTAACTGTAAATTACTTTATAAAATGAGTGAAACGTCAATTTGTTTTAGATATACAACCTTATTCGCCCCTACGTTACCCCAAGACAAAGTCACATCGATCCAAACAATATCTGTAGGGGTTGAAGGGAAAATCATCTTGTTATTTGACTCCCCTTGGTATGTGCGACCGAACTGGCCGTTTTATTTATGGAGGGGGGTTGAGAAAGACAATATAAGTGTCGAGGATATGTGGATGACCCAAGTCATTGAAGGTTCGAAGCCTATGGGATTTAGTAATGGTATTACTTTATGGACTACAGGCAACAGAGCCAAAGTGGTGGGTATTTTAACTAACAGGAGCAGATTGGCAATTTTGTTAATAACATGATGTTTTCGCAGTTCATTTCCATAATGGGAAGATGTAAAGAAACGCGATTCTCGGCGAATCACATAACCTAAAAATAGACAGTTGACAGAACATAAATGTCCCATACATTACTAAATACTAATGTTTAACCCTTTTCTTAAATGAAATAATACCTACTTACTGTTACTTATATCATATTTTTACTAATAAGTACATCCGTACTAATAAAATAATAAATATACTTACTTCTCTGGGAGTAATGTCATAGGTTGGAAGATCCAGAGCCGCGTAGAACGTATAAGGTAGCCAGGGCTGCGGCTTGAAGTGCAGGAGTAGAAACGGGGTGGTTTTTAGTCAGTAAGATTCTGACATTCCCTCCCACATCACCCAAGCGGGAGAAGTAATTCAATGATTTTTCACACTTAATAAAAAGGCTAGCTGGAAGGACGGGGATCATTGTCTTTTAACAGTAGAAAAAAAAACATTAATAGAAAAGAAATGTATAGGAATGAGGCGAGAGTAGTGTATGGTAACCTCAAAAAGTAGCGTCTCTAATCCGTTTTTATTTCGTTCTGGAGTATTCCAACATGACTAATTTCGGAAAACTCGAAGAGGGCAATATCTGTTACTCGTAGGTGTAAAAAAATAAACGTAAACATTTTCCCCTGTCCCGGAGAATCTAACGGTAGGAACGGGATGGTATTTAGGCAGTAACTTCCTGTCTGAGTCTGACACTTCCTCAAGCCTCACCAAGGCGAGAGCAGCCATTTGATGATTTCCCCCCCTTAAAAAAACATTTTCCTCTCCCAGCCACATACCTACCTCAAAGTGAAGGCAATTATATTAAAACTAGCTCTTTTAATTCTACTCTTTATAGACACTCGCACCTCTTCTCGCCAGCTCTACCGCAAGAAAAAGTAACCTCAATACAAAAAGTATCTATGGGAGTTGTAGGAAAGGTTATATTTATTTTTGAGAACCGTTGGGTTGCGGAAAACGTATCATCGTTCGCGTTTTTATGGAGGAATGAAGATAGGCGGGCGTTAGGACCAGATGAGGGGTGGTGGCCAAATATCGCGGCAACTAGTTCACCTATGGGCAATCCCGCTGGTCTAACCCTTTGGACCGTAGGCGATATGGCAAAACTGGTAAGTAATTTAACTCGCATTCCAAGATAACGGTTGTTTCAATAACGAAATTATGAAAAGAGGGATATTTTATCTGTGACAGTTTGCATGACAGTTTTGTTCGTTACAAATATTGTTCCGGTTATTTAAAGACAAAAAAACAGTATTATTAACAACTGAATTTTGTCGTTATAAATGTCGGTACTGCACTTATCTCAAGTTATTTCGTTTCTACTACCTACTAACACATACTTACGTCTTTTCTTTGCATCCTAAGATAATAAAAATATTCCTCAGGTATATAGATTAATTAAAAATACTCCCTCTCAAATTTATTGTTTAAACGAATTAGTCAAGTCTAAAACTGTTATCTAAATTTGTATTTTGACGCCATTCCATCAACAACAAAATATTTAAATATTAAATAATAAGAAAAAATGTCAGTCTGTAGGTCAGTGGTCAGTCCTCTAGTGAAGCTATTTGCTCGTTCCAAAGTTTAGATTCCTATGGAGAAGAACGAGCAAGAAACTCCATAGGTTACTCTTTTTCAATCAGGTACATTTAGATACATTGCAAGATGTTAAATGATTGCGCAGATCACCATGTTCAACCAATCAAGGCATGCAATTCTTATTCCTAAATTATAATAAACGAGTTCCAGATTATAGCAATTTTATTAATAAATTATCAATTCAGTATCTTAAAAGTATTTTTTAAACATTAGCCCACATTAGGATTTTCTCCTGTGTCGTGGGTGCGTTTACAAACATACAAGTTCATATACACATGACACCCAGACCCGAAACAACAACTTGTGGATCACACAAAATGTTGTTCCGTGCGGGAATCGAACCCGCGACACGTTGCACGACAGCCGGTTGCCCAGCCACCGCACCAACCGTGCAGTCTCTCTTATCGGATAGAATGCTTCATTTATTATTATCTACATAACAATAAATGATCATAGCACTCGAATAAGAATCATATGAGGCACAAATCAACCGAAAATGGCCAAACAGTTAAAAAAATACTTTTTTTTTATTTATGATATTTACATTAAGTACAAAAGATTATCCATTTAAAATAACAACCAAAAACCACTAAGGTTTAAACTTGTGCTATCATGAATCAATCTCTCATTGCGACCGTAGTGCAAGCTATGGTCGACAGTGAGAGTGCATGGGATGGAGTAGCTTCCTTCTGTGAACGTGTCATGTTGGCGAAGGAGGCGGCTGAAAGGGAGAGGCAGGCGTCCAACCGGTCCAACTCCCTCCCCTCCCGCCGTAGACGTGCCGGTCGTCAACACCGCGAGGTGGTAGCCGATCTGCGACCTCCATAGGAGAGAGGTCCACGGGCGACTGACAAGGGGAGTCAGTCATCCGCTATATGGGCGAGATTAGGCGTAAGGCTGCCTGTCCATTGCCGCGGAGAGGGGTAGCGGATCGGATCTAGTGAGTATTGCTGAGCGGAGTTACGTACTGTGTCTGTCCATTGAGGCAGAGCGAGGCAGCGGTGCGGAGCCAGCGAGTATACTATCCCAATATCCCATACCCCTGCCCCGCTCCCGAGACCGCTTTCCCACCGCCGCGCCGGCTTATTCGGTTGCCCCGCTCCGCAGTCTCGCACCGCTACCTCGCACCGCTACCACGCGTCGCTTCCGAAAATGTATGAATTTTTAAACTATCTCGCAGATCCCTTTCCACTAAAGCGAAGCGGAGATTTCGTGCAATCCTATTGGTTAATACCTCTTCATTTCTCCGCTCCGCTACCCATCTCCGCGTCAATGGACAGGCAGCCTTAATGTTGTGTTCCACGCGCGCCACTCGGGGTAGAAAATCAGCCTGTAAAGGGTGTTTCGTGGTGGGACCTGCCGCACTAGTGGTAGGTCGAAGCCTGCCGGATGCGGTGATTCCGCACGGGCGTCCCTGTCGCCACAGGCAAAGGAAGAACACCGTGGTGGTTTTAGCCAGTAAAAGTCCGGCACACCCTCCGGTCGTCCCCACGGCGTGGGAAGTCCAAGAGGAAATCCATGGCGTGAAAAAAAAATCATGAATCAATCAATCTCAACATCGATTTCTTATGAAATTAATTTTTACAAATATGTATATACGTTAATGACGCTAACAATATACACAATTTAAAATAAACAAACATGTTCCTAAATAATACTTAGGTATGTAATATTGCTTTAGTTTACATTTTATGTTCTTTTGAGTAATATTATATTTTTTATTTAAAATACCTTTTGTACGTGACTTACTATTTTCCGGGACAATTAGGTATAAACGTCCTTAGCTATCGTTACAATACTTACAATACCTATTACAGTTCTTTCAAAATTCTGTAGGTATTCTTAATAGGATTAAAAGGGCCTGTGATTAAAATGTTTGTGCCTAACTGGGGTTAACAAAAAAAAAACATTAAATCTCATTTGGGAACCATTGCTTGTCTATGACTTTGATTTTACAAAATGGCAACTGCATTTATGCATCTTGGCAAGTTCAAGGAAAATTCGTTATATCATATTTTGGCGTAAATATCATTGTGTCTGGAAAAATAATGTATTTGAAAAATTGTTAAAAACTAACCTGACTTTGGTATGAATATCTTTTTGAAAGGGAAACAATACTAAGCTCCCTTCCGCACTAACTGCGTAAGCCACTGCCTGCGGTTGACCGCGCTTTTTAATATGCAACCGCGTCTGTCGATACGAACCGCCTAGGGGGTCAATCGCTAGTGCGTAAGGGGTTTAAAAAGTTGGAGACTTATCGAAATACACCACGTTTAAAAGATATTGATACTTAGTCATGTTAACAGTCAAATAAAAAAGAACGGACTCCCACATAGAAATGGTTTTTGATAACCTATTTTTAGTGAAAAAAAGAAAATTTTCCAAAAGATAGAGGAATCTAAGGGCATAGAACGAGTTTGTTTGTTTTACGTTTAGAAATATCGAAACGTTAGCGTTAAGCCCACTGACACTGATGGGTCGGTTCATTGAAGCCGGCCAATCAGAGCACAGAGTGCCAAGCACGAATAACTATCGTATTCGTATCGTAACAGTATCGAGCGAGTTAAGCGTTCTGATTGGTTAGTTCATTTGAGCCGGCCAATCAGAGCGCCGAACGCGCTCGATACTATTACGTTACGAATGCGATAGTTATTCGTGCTTGGCGCTCTGAACTCGTACTCGTTTCGATTACCTTAAACGTAAGACAAAATTGTACTATGCCCTCCAAAGCATTCCACAATTCTATTCTTGTGGGAATCCTTTCGTCCATCTACACCAAGAATCACAACAAATTATGCATGAACAAACCATTACATTGCAGGCATTCATCACTATTCTCACCAAGTTTACCGAAAGAGAAAACCGAAGTTATTCAAAGTTTAGGCATAGGTGTGGTGGATAAAGTCATTTTTCTATTTCCTAAACCTTGGTGGCCGGATACGGAGACATTTCATGGATTCGTTTGGAATGGTGCTGATAGAGCGACCGTCCCTAAAGAGGATAATTGGATTACTAAGATATTTGGGGTCAGCACGCCTTTGGGGTCGTCGACAGCATTGACGTTATGGACTAGCGGGGAGGGCGCTAAGCTGGTTAGTAACTTGCATGTTCTTTTTTGAGGTACTTAAACACAACTTGGGGTGTAAATCTTCTGGTGTCGCTGTGTTTATCGGTGGACATCAGACGATTCGTCTCCTGATTTGCCTCCAGCTGGGCTATGCTGTAAGATATAAATTCGAACTTTCAAAGTGAGCTCGATCGCATGCTCGCCCGCCATTGGTCGGTATTATTCTCACAACCAACGACTTGGCAGACAGCAACCGAGGTCGTTCGATCTTTAAAATTGAAAGTTACCGAATAGCCTCTAGAAAATAGAAAAGATCTTCTTCGTATTCATTATATTATATTTATTATAACAATGATCTGCTGCTAAAAGAGATGCAGAACCACGATCCTTGATCCTAGAATCGCCGAACTAAGTTAAATTGTCTTGTATGAATTTGACTAGACATAAGTTGTGTTTAAGTATTTGATGCTGTGTGATTTATCTGTTAAACGACATAAATATACAAGATATTTTATCAACCTCATATAAAAATGAAATATAAACATCTGTGTGTATATTTTTTCTTTATAACACTACTCATTGGTGTATAGTACCGATATTTCGTAGTGGCCCATAGGTTTAAGACGCCCGCTTCTCATGCATCAGGGCGTGGGCTCGAAACCTATCAACGGCAAGTACTATTGGTCCGGTGAAGGAAAATACGTGAGGAAAACTTATAGTTTTTAATTATAAGTTTGAAATTGCCAACCCGCATTGAGCAAGCGTGGTGATTAACTAAACCTGGGGGCTTACTCTTGAATCCAATTCCGATCGATCGACATTGGTATTGTAAAATTTCGTACTCTTGAGTTGCAACACTAGCGCCCATTGCATCCGTATTACGTGGATATTGAATGAACTAAATGGTATTGAGTTCGGCTTTATATTCCGTACTCTGAATGCTAATTCAATAGCTACGGTAGGGGTTGTATAGTTTCGACATTGAATCATTATTGAGATTTTATTGAATTGAAATTGCATTGACATTGAGATTTATTTCAAGAGTAAGCACCCTGGTCCGTGTGAGAAGAGGCCTTTGGTCGGCAGTGGCCACTTAATAGACTGTTGATGTGTATAATTCACAAATTCTAATCTTATTCTATAACGAAATATCTTGTATATTATGTAGTTTAATAAGAACTTTACGATATTTATCACGAAATTATTAGATTTGTCATTGAACGTCAAATTGGATGTAAATGCATTATAATAACTCAGGGATGCATATTGACTATTATTGACATGATCAAATTACTAATATATCTCAAAATACATAGGTACATGCTTCTATATCAACTAAATATGTACAGCTTGGCAAAAAAGAGTTGGACGCGGTGACAGCTGCAACTAATATAGACTTGGACTGAATCACCCACTTCGGGCCATATCCCATGAATAAACAATCATCCGAACACAGTACCTCCTCTTTTTAACCGACTTCAAAAAAGGAGGAGGTTCTCAATTCGACCGTATATATGCTTTTTTTTTTTTTATGTTTGTTCGCCGATATCTCCGTTGTTTATAAACCGATTTTGAAAATTCTTTTTTTGTTAGAAAGGAGATAGTTCCAGAATGGTCCCATGATAAGGAAATCAGGATCTGATGATGGAAGACCAGGGAAACCGAGGGGAACTTTTAAAAATTATAGGGGTGACTAGGGCATTTGTTAATTTTTTCATTATGTATTAAAAACCACTACAATCTGATAAAGGTCTGGAGCCGATCTGATGATGGAGCCGAGAGCCAGTTGAGGGAACTCCTCAACGGTTAACAGTAGCTACCTTGTGTTTGGGTTTGATTAATTTGTATTGATGAGGACTTTACACCTGAGTGGGGTGTAATTGTCAATAAGGGTCTGATGATGAAGTAGTACGATAGTTGAGGGAACTCCTCAACGGTTAACAGTAGCTGCCTTGTGTTTGGGTTTGATTAATTTGTATTGATGAGGACTTTACACCTGAGTGGGGTGTAATTGTCAATAAGGGTCTGATGATGAAGTAGTACGATAGTTGAGGGAACTCCTCAACGGTTAACAGTAGCTGCCTTGTGTTTGGGTTTGATTAATTTGTATTGATGAGGACTTTACACCTGAGTGGGGTGTAATTGTCAATAAGGGTCTGATGATGAAGTAGTACGATAGTTGAGGGAACTCAACGGTTAACAGTAGCTACCTTGTGTTTGGGTTTGATTAATTTGTATTGATGAGGACTTTACACCTGAGTGGGGTGTAATTGTCAATAAGGGTCTGATGATGAAGTAGTACGATAGTTGAGGGAACTCCTCAACGGTTAACAGTAGCTACCTTGTGTTTGGGTTTGATTAATTTGTATTGATGAGGACTTTACACCTGAGTGGGGTGTAATTGTCAATAAGGGTCTGATGATGAAGTAGTACGATAGTTGAGGGAACTCCTCAACGGTTAACAGTAGCTACCTTGTGTTTGGGTTTGATTAATTTGTATTGATGAGGACTTTACACCTGAGTGGGTGTAATTGTCAATAAGGGTCTGATGATGAAGTAGTACGATAGTTGAGGGAACTCCTCAAGGTTAACACTAGCTACCGTGTGTTTGGGTTTGATTAATTTGTATTGATGAGGACTTTACACCTGAGTGGGGTGTAATTGTCAATAAGGGTCTGATGATGAAGTAGTACGATAGTTGAGGGAACTCCTCAACGGTTAACAGAGCTACCTTGTGTTTGGGTTTGATTAATTTGTATTGATGAGGACTTTACACCTGAGTGGGGTGTAATTGTCAATAAGGGTCTGATGATGAAGTAGTACGATAGTTGAGGGAACTCCTCAACGGTTAACAGTAGCTACTTGTGTTTGGGTTTGATTAATTTGTATTGATGAGGACTTTACACCTGAGTGGGGTGTAATTGACAATAAGGGTCTGATGATGAAGTAGTACGATAGTTGAGGGAACTCCTTAACGGTTAACAGTAGCTACCTTGTGTTTGGGTTTGATTAATTTGTATTGATGAGGACTTTACACCTGAGTGGGGTGTAATTGTCAATAAGGGTCTGATGATGAAGTAGTACGATAGTTGAGGGAACTCCTCAACGGTTAACAGTAGCTACCTTGTGTTTGGGTTTGATTAATTTGTATTGATGAGGACTTTACACCTGAGTGGGGTGTAATTGTCAATAAGGGTCTGATGATGAAGTAGTACGATAGTTGAGGGAACTCCTCAACGGTTAACAGTAGCTATTTGTGTTTGGTTTGATTAATTTGTATTGATGAGGACTTTACACCTAGATGGGTGATGGTCATTAAAGGTCCAATGACGAAGTAGTATGATAGCTAAGGGACTCTCAATGGTTAAGAGTACCCACCCGGTGTTTGAACTTGCATAATGTATTGATGAAAACTTTGCATCCATGTGGGTTTTGTATAATATAATATATCAAAGTACTAAACTAAAAAGTATAAAATAAAATTAAAAAACTGCGTTTAAAAAAACCGACTTCAAAAACAAATGACAAACAAAAAGTAAAAACTAAAAAGGAAAAAAAAAACTATTAGTGGTCATACGTACTTATAGCTTACACACCCACTGATAGGTTAGAAGTCGGTGCCACAAACCCACAATAAAATATAAAGTAGACAAAAGTCACAGCTGGTATAATCCATAATAAAATTGTAAACAGCTCAATAATGTTAGGTATCTATTAAGGTTTTAATGAATATATAACCTAATTATAGGTTTAAAACTTGTGGCACCGACTTCTAACCTATCAGTGGGTGTGTAAGCTATAAGTACGTATGACCACTAATAGTTTTTTTTTTCCTTTTTAGTTTTTACTTTTTGTTTGTCATTTGTTTTTGAAGTCGGTTTTTTTAAACGCAGTTTTTTTAAACTCGATAAAAATAACAAATATCTAAACCGGTTGAGTCGTAGTGTACCAGGCTGTCACAAGTACGATACTAGCGACCTCTATTAGTACAAACTCTTTTTTGCCAAGCTGTACATAAAATAACATTCGGTTTTACTCACATTTCACATTTTGAAATTGAATTATATTTGGCTTAGCGTATTTGATTTTATTGGTCACTTATTATCTTACACTAATTATTGTTTGTTTAAAAATCATTTTATTTCTACATCAAATTTAACCTAAATATAGACGAAAATTGGGTGTTTTTTTAATATTCAAATACGCTAAGCTATGTGATCAAAAATTTGTTTTAGATAACGAATATTGTACAGCAATATAACTATATTTCAGGTTGAAACTTTACCCGAAGATGTAGTAAAGAGGAAAGCTATGGAATTGATTAGACGATTCATGGGAAAGAATAGGACTATTCCGGAACCTATAGCGATGTTACGGTGAGTGAGACTCTGTGTATTTTCAGACAGTTATAATTAACACTTGAACTGCCAAGTCTAAAATGTCGTGGTGGCCCGGAGGTTTAAGACGCCCACTTCTCATGCATGAGAGTGCGAGTTCGAAACGCACCAACGGCAAGTACCAATGTAACTTTTTCCGAGTTATATGTACTTTCTAAGATTATTTAGACACCACTGACAAACAGTAAAGAAAAAACATCGTGAGGAAACCTGGGCTTATAATTTCAAATTATAAGTTTGAAATCGCCAACCCGCATTGAGCAACCGTGGTTATTAATGCTCAAACCTTCTCCGTGTGAGAAGAGGCTTTGCTCAGCAGTGGGCATTTATAGGCTGTTGATGAATGAATGAAAGTCAAATCTACACTAGAATCAGGCAACGGTGACTGACGTGGCATTCTAAGGGTTACCTAATGGTTGACTACCTCATTAGACAAGTGGTTTCAAATTTGACTTTGGATTCGATTGCTTTGTCAAACATGGTTTAAAAAAAATTGCATAAATGGAATTCTTATCTTCAATTCGCAATTGACTGCACGGTTGGTACGGTGGCTGGGCAACCGGCTACAGTGCAACGTGTCGCGGGTTCGATTCCCGCACGGAACAACACTTTGTGTGATCCACAAATTGTTGTCTCGGGTCTGGGTGTCATTGTGTATGTGAACTAGTATGTTTGTAAACGCACCCACGACACAGGAGATAATCCTAATGTGGGGCATAGTAAAATAAAAAAAAAATTGATTATGTACAAGTACAATATGGACAATGGGGGGCACATCCGCCTAACTACCACTAAGTTGATGTTTGTTTGCACGTGATCCGCTGTCTAGCCCCGCCCCATGACCTTAATTAGAACCGGGTTCAGGCAATAAAATTTTTAAATGCCAGGGGTTTTACTCTTGAATCCAGTTCCGATCGATCGAGATTGGTATTGTGAAATTTCGTACTTTCAAGTTGCAATACTAGCGCCCATTGCATCCGTAGTACGTGAATATTTAATGAACGAAATGGTATTGCATTTGGCTTTATATTCCGTACTCTGAATGCTATTGTAACAGCTACGATTGTGGTTGTATAGTGTTGACATTGAATAATTATTGAGGTTTTATTGCATTGCAATTGCATTGACATTGAGTATGGTTTCAAGAGTAAGCGCCCTGGCATATCTGTCCCACAATATACATTTTGCTTAGTCAGTTTACTTATCCAATGATATTTGTTCATTTATGAAAAGTGTACGATATTTTAAGCGCGTAAAAAATAAAGGCGTCGTGCCATTATCAATAAATATTGCAATATTCTTAAAGACTACCAACATAACACGTTGAAAAATGTAATCTAATTGCCATCAATAAATCTAACCGCATAATCTTCCTTCACAGCTCGTCATGGTACTCAAATCCCTACACTCGAGGTAGCTACTCGTACGACAATCTCTCCACACCACAATACCCCCACGCTAGGGCTACTTTAGCGGAGCCCCTTGTAGACAGCAGTGGAGCCCCGAGGGTCCTGTTCGCAGGCGAAGCAACTGATAACACCCATTTCTCGACAGTTCATGGAGCAACTGACACAGGATTCAGGGAAGCTAATAGGCTACTGACTAAGGCCAAATTGTAAATGGAATGTTGATAAATGTACTGTTTCGGTCTTTTATGGCATTAGACATGTGGATTACTGACAATAGCCCCAATAGCTAAAATCCTCGCCTCCCTCATCTCCCCAATCCCCAGCAATCCTCAAATAGGCGCTTTTGCCATACCTATTATTGGAAGCAAGTATAACTGCTCACACACAGGACCCACTTAGTTTTTTAGTCAAATTTCCGTGGTGCTTGGCGACTGGGCTTCACCCAGTTGTACAGTGTCTTCTTTGTGCCTTTAGGCTTAATTCATTCTGTCTCCTGCAGTAATTCACCGAGGGAAGTGGAAACTATAGTTTTTTCTTCTTCTCCTCTTATAATATCTTCTGATTCCCTTCGTTGCGGGAACCAAGACAGTTACTCATGTCCCTGGGACGCGCCGGACTTCAATGTTCCGGTGTTTTCATGGTTGTATCTGCTGTAGATCCTGGCTTACAGGAGTTGCAGCGGTTTAGGGAGGTTGTGGCGGGCTTGTCCCATAAATAAATCCTCAAATTCCTAATTCCCATAAGGCCGGCACGCACTTGTCTTGCCTCTGGTGTTGCGTGTGTCCATGGGCGACGCCGATTGCTTACCATCAGGTGATCCGTCAGCTCGTTTACCGGCTTATCCTATAAAAAACAGACGTAGAATATTGTAGTACCCGGCGCTAATTTATGCACATCAACTTTTGGAAAACATTTTTGTGTAATATCATTGTTATATTACCTTTTGATCAACCTATTTACTTTTTCCCGCTTTCTTGTGGGATAAAAGTAGCCTATGTGCTTTTCCAGACCATCCCTGTTCCTGTTCCAAATATCCAGATCCTTGCAGCCGTTTTGACATGATTGAATAAATAATAGAAACATTCTGACTAATAATACATATTAGTAAGCTACATAATTCGATGAGTGCCCGACTAGATTTAACTTGACATAATAGGGTAGATGCCTAATTTTTATTTTAATGTCCGTCTGGTAGATTATTTTAAATCATTAGACACGTATTTTTTTTCTCACAGAAACGAATACTTTCGACGATATATTGGTTTGAAACGTCGCGTGGCGTGACTTCTATGTACATTTTATACGTAGAAACGACGTTTTAGCCCCCACTCCTTGATTCGTTTTATCTATGTATTGTTTTATTAGATGACAAAATAAAAAAATACGTGTCTAATATTTTTTCATTACCTAACTTACGGACTTATTATATTTTCATACCCTGTCATCATGCCAATTATGAGCTGTATGCGCGGCGACTTGATCAAAAGGTCGATATGCAATATTAATCGCCGGGAATTGTAGTTTGTGCATAGAACTCATACCATAACTGGTGAATAGTTAGTGTTTTATGTTTACATAAAATAAAGGTCGAGGTTTCAAAGTGCAATAGCTAAAAATCGAGTCATGTCGTTTGACCCCCATAAGTCACTATGGGGTCTATTTTCAGTTTATTGTAGGTACCATCAATTTTTTTAATAAATATATCTACCAAGGATTTATAAAGATGACACAGTGTGCAATATAGTATATTTAAAATTAATAGTTATACATACAATGAAATGTAGCTCAAATATACATATGTTATATTAAATGTCTAATGCCTATAAAAAGAGTATAATATGTATAATAGATATACAATGTTTTTATACACTTCAAATGTATTGTGCTATGTGAATTTATATGAATTATAAATGAAATTATTATGTTATTTACTTGTTTTTATAAAAAAAAATTATGACCCCTCTTAGGAATATACCCCATCCTTAAAATCGTCCTTTATGAATAATCCCTAATATAAAGACGTTGAAAAAAAAGGTAGACATAGTCTCTCGAAACAACGACTGCGGCACCTGACTACTATACACTTACACGGAGAACACACACACATTGACACGAAGGACATCTGTCGCTTGACATGGCCCGTCATTACACTTCATACATTATGGTAAGTACACGCACACGAATATAGCACTCACATTTGGTTGCTTTTTTATAATGTTACAGATTCATTCTCCACGGACTCCTGGTCCGTACCCTTGTCATACAATTTTTTATTAAAATACGTCTAATCAATTTTTATAAAGTAAAGAAGGTACCTAGGTACACACTACAATTAACCACATCTATAACTTATTACTAAAAGTATAAATTACATAATAATTAGGTATTATCTATTTATACTGCCTCGTTGGCCGAGTGGTCGCAAGTGCGACTGCCGAGGGGTCTCGGGTTCGATTCCCGGGTCGGGCAAAGTATTACTGGGTTTTTAAATAATTCTCAGTAGTAGCACGGAGTCTGGAATTGTGCCCGGTATATGCCAGGCTCACCCCCTATTACATGGGACTCATAACATAAATAGTGAAAAGTGGGTGTTACATTGTACAGTGGTATAATGTGTACCTCTGCCTACCCCTTCGGGGATAAAAGGCGTGATGTTATGTTATTTTATCTATTTCGAAGGCTCTACGAAATCGGCCCACCAACAAGATGGGAGAGCCGACCTGTCCCAACAGAAAGCTCACGAGTATGACGTGTGTGTCAGCAATTGGTCCGGACATTTGGTTGCTTCAATCATTCCTCTTCATCTTAAGTGTGGGAGAGCCGTGCTTCGCCACGAATGGGCTGACTCGACCGGAGTGATACCACGGCCTCACAGAAAACCGACGTGAAGCAACGCTTGCGTTATGTTTCGTCGTGTGAGTAAGGTTACCGGAGGCCCAATTACCTTCCCCTTCCCCATTCTCCCCAATCCCTGAATCTCCAACGATCCTCAAACTCCTAATTCCCAAAAAACCGGTGACGCACTTGTAACGCCTCTGGTGTTCCAGGTGTCCATGGGCGACGCCGATTGCTTACCATCAGGTGATCCGTCTGCTCGTTTACCGGCTTATGCCATAAAAAAAATCTAAGTGACATTAGATCCGTCTATTTTTCAACGTCCTTACCCTAATAGTATAAATTATGTTTTTTGACCCCAATATAATTGTAAATTGTAATGACTTTACAGCTTGGAAAAAAGAGTTCGACGCGGTGACAGCTGCAACTAATATAGACTTGGACTGAATCACCCACTTCGGACCATCCTTATCCTTACTAATATTATAAATCTGAAAGTGAGTTTGTTTGTTTGTTTGTTCCACTTTCACGCCGTAACTACTCAACCGATTGCTTTGAATTTTTGCAGACGTAAAGTTAGAAGTCTGGATTAAATAATAGGGTACTTTTTAACCCGGAAAAAAATTATATTCCCGAGGAAAAACAAAAGTATTGGTATAGATGGCGCTGTGTGTATTGGTATATGTCACATAGGCTACTTTTTATTCTTTTGTGACGCGAGCGAAGCCGCGGGTAAAAGCTAGTATCCCATGAATACACAATCATCCGAACACAGTAGTTCCTCTTTTTAAACTCGATAAAAATAACAAATATCAAAACCGGTTGAGTCGTAGTGTACCAGGCTGTCACAGGTGCGATACTAGCGACCTTTACTATTACAGACTCTTTTTTGCCAAGCTTTTTTGCTTATTTCTTTACATTAGACAAATAAAACTAGAACAGATTATTTTTAGATAATAAATAAATAAAATAAGCCTTTATTACTGACGTTACAAATTTACAATTTAGTCTATATTACTATACTATACATCAGTAGTTTTATCCCCAGCTTGTCCTTCGACATAGTCCTCCTCCAAAGATTTCCAGTTTTCCCTATCCCTCGCAATTCTCATCCATCTAGTCCAGCAGTTTTCCTTAGGTCATCTTCCCAGCGTTTTGGTTGTCGCCCTTTGCTCCTTTTCCCATCTCTGGGGTACCATTCTGATATTGTCTTTATCCATTTCATATTCCTCTCTCTTATCATATGCCCTGCCCATTGCCATTTTAGTGTTTTCCTTAATTTTTTCTAGTCTTACCTTATCTTGTATTTTAACTTGAATTACACTTCTCTCTATTCCGTTCTGGCATACATTTATTTTTCTTTTTAAATTTTCCGTTAGTGCCCATGTTTAGCACCCGTATGTCAAACATGGCAGAATACATGTGTTGTACAGTTTCTTTTCTCTTTCATTGGCATGTCTCGATTTTTCATAACCTCGCTTAGAGACCAGTACCTTTTCCAAGTATTGGCTACTCTTCTATCGATTTCCTTTTGCATTGTGTCGCTTGGGGCTATCAACTGTCCAAGGTATATATATTCTTCCACGTACTTTATCTCCTCCGTATTAACTCTGATATTATATGTCTTTGAGCCGTTAGTCATAATTTTAGTTTTATTTGTGTTCATTGAAAGTCCTGCCTTCGCACTTTCATCTGATAGCTGTTGTAGCATTTGCTCTAGCTTTTTTGGGCACTCAGAAAATAGGATCAAGTCATCTGCAAAAGGGAGATGGTTTAAAGGTTCGCCGTTTATGTTGAGTCCATTTTCCTCCCAATCCAACTTTCTAAATACCATCTCGAGTGTCGCCGAAAATAGTTTGGGTGAGACAGGGTCGCCTTGCCGGACCCCTCGCTCTATGGGAAACTCCTCTCCTGTTGCCTCTAGCCTAACTCGTGCTTTGCTGTTGGAATAGATATTTTTAAGTATTTGTATATATTTTCTTGGTATTCCCCGCGTATGCAACGCTTCCGAGATTGAATCGTGTTCCAATGAGTCAAAAGCCTTATTATAATCGGCAAATTCCAGATAGTAGACTTTCTTGTATTCTTTATATTTTTGAAGGACTTGCCTTAGTACATGTATATGATCCATGGTTGAATATTTGCTTCGGAAGCCAGCCTGCTCTTTTGGTTGATTGAAGTCGAGTGTTGATGTGATTCGAGATAAAATAATTTTTGAAAATCTTTATAGATGTTGGACATTAGACTGATTGGTCGATAATTACCTATTTCACCTTTATCTCCTTTTTTATGCAGTAATATTATAGTGGAAGTAGACCAGTCGGCCGGGATATTTTCAATCTCCATAATATCATTAAATAAGCACGTTAATATGG